GTTTTGAGACATGCTCCTGTAAAGTGTGTTTTGAGACATGCTCCTGTAAAGTGTGTTATGAGACATGCCTGTGTAAAGTGTGTTTGAGACATGCTCCTGTAAAGTGTGTTTTTGAGACATGCTCCTGTAAAGTGTGTTTTGAGACATGCCTGTGTAAAGTGTGTTTTGAGACATGCTCCTGTAAAGTGTGTTTTGAGACATGCTCCTGTAAAGTGTGTTTTGAGACATGCTCCTGTAAAGTGTGTTTTGAGACATGCTCCTGTAAAGTGTGTTTTGAGACATGCTCCTGTAAAGTGTGTTATGAGACATGCCTGTGTAAAGTGTGTTTTGAGACATGCTCCTGTAAAGTGTGTTTTGAGAAATGCCCGTTAGAGATGTGTGGATGGGTTATTTTTTCATCTGCAACCGCAACACAAAACTCATCATCCGCCCGCTGTCTATTTTGCACCGAAGGTTTTCAAAACCGCACCCGCCGCCATCCGCCGATTGATTTTAGATTTTAGAACAATCATACAGCAAACAAACTAAGGAGCCGATAAAAATGCAAACTATAGCTCATTCATTCCAAAATTCGCTCAGCGTGTTATGTTCGCATTCTTAATTGTCCGTAACAACCCCAAACTTACCTGGTTTTCTTGCGCAGCTAATTAACTGACAACGTTTTCCGACGAGGCTGTTTTTGAACCTTCTTGCCTTCGTGTTGGATGTTGTTACATTCTGAACATTCTGCCATTGCCCGATGTTATTTCAAAGTCATAGCCTCACTCCATCGGTCTTTCTTTAAGTTTTAAATCCCCCGAGTGGCAGTCGACGCTATAATGTCTGCGTGTTTTAAAATATATCTGATATTGATATGGCCCCATAGCCACTTACGTGTTGGCAAACAGCTGAAATAAATTAGAAATAATAAAATAAACTGCATATAAAATGTGCCTCGTAAACCTTAGGCATCAATAACCCGACACAACCTTAACCTTCGAACATAAAAACGAGGTCAAATGGGCTAATTAAGGATATGACGTACACTTCATACTACAAGCATAGACAATGACACTCGTCTTTCCAGATGTACGTAACAATATTAACAATAACTTTTTTTTTTTTTTTTTGTAGTTAAACTGCCACCCGCCCGAATTTAATTAAAATATCATTTTTCGTAACGTCATCCGCCCGACCCGCGGATTAACCGCGGATACCGCGGTTGTAACCGCAATCCGCGCATCTCTAATGCCCGTGTAAAGTGCGTTATGAGACATGCTCCTGTAAAGTGCGTTATGAGACATGCTCCTGTAAAGTGCGTTATGAGACATGCTCCTGTAAAGTGCGTTATGAGACATGCTCCTGTAAAGTGCGTTATGAGACATGCTCCTGTAAAGTGCGTTATGAGACATGCTCCTGTAAAGTGCGTTATGAGACATGCCCGTGTAAAGTCGCTGCTGTCGTTTAGACATGATGAAATAAAAGTGAGCATGACCCGTTCAAAAAGATTAAAAAATAAACAGGGTCTGACTCAAATAAAAGTCACAACTGATAAAAACTCAATTTGAAGACGTCATTTGCTTGTCACATTTAGAATTGTCCAGGGTGACGCCAAACCTGGTGACCGCGGGACGGACTTGATTTTTTAAGGATCCAAGTCGACGAGGAAATGACTGGGAGTCCAGTTTGTGCCATCAGGAACTTTAAATAAACAAAAATAAAAACTCTCATAAGAACAAGATCTGACCTCAGGATCTGGAAATGGGTCCGGGTCACGGGTGGAGGACGGGGTCGGGTCAGGTGGACACGGGTGGACGGGTCAGGTGGAGGAGGAGTCGAGGACGGGTCAGGAGGACGGGTCAGGAGGACGGGTCAGGAGGACGGGTCAGGAGGACGGGTCGGGTCAGGACGGGTGGGAGGACGGGTCAGGAGGACGGGTCAGGTGGACGGGTCAGGAGGACGGGTCAGGAGGACGGGTCAGGAGGACGGGTCACGGGTGGACGGGTCAGGAGGACGGGTCAGGAGGACGGGTCAGGAGGACGGGTCAGGAGGACGGGTCAGGTGGAGGAGGACGGGTCAGGAGGAGGAGGAGGACGGGTCAGGTCAGGACGGGTCAGGAGGAGGACGGGTCAGGAGGACGGGTCAGGTGGAGGAGGACGGGTCAGGAGGACGGGTCAGGTGGAGGACGGGTCAGGAGGACGGTCAGGAGGACGGGTCGGAGTCGGGTCAGGAGGACGGGTCAGGAGGACGGGTCAGGAGGACGGGTCAGGTGGAGGAGGACGGGTCAGGAGGACGGGTCAGGAGGACGGGTCAGGAGGACGGGTCAGGTGGAGGAGGAGGAGGACGGGTCAGGTGGAGGAGGACGGGTCAGGTGGACGGGTCAGGAGGATCAGGAGGTAGAGGACGGGTCAGGACGGGTCACGGGTCAGGAGGACGGGTCAGGTGGAGGTCAGGTGGACGGGTCAGGTGGACGGGTCAGGCGCAGGTCTAAACTCATGTCCTTGTGCTTTGTGTCCTGCAGAGGGCGTGATGGAGTTCAGCCTCCTGGACTCTGAGGCTCGGAGCCCGACTCTGTCTCTGTCCGACTCTGGAACCCCCCAGAACGAACCCAAAGAACACAGCGGTGAGTACTACAAGTACTACTACTACTACTACTACTACTACAAGTACTACAAGTACTACTACTACTACTACTACTACTACTACTACTACTACTACTACTACTACAAGTACTACTACTACTACTACTACAAGTACTACAAGTACTACTACTACTACTACTACTACTACTACTACAAGTACTACAAGTACTACTACTAACTACTACTACTACTACTACTACAAGTACTACAAGTACTACTACTACTACTACTACTACTACTACAAGTACTACAAGTACTACTACTACAAGTACTACTACTACTACAAGTACTACAAGTACTACTACTACTACTAAATACTACTACTACTACAAGTACTACTACTACTACAAGTACTACTACTACTACTACTACTACTACTACTACTACAAGTACTACAAGTACTACTACTACTACTACTACTACTACTACTACAAGTACTACAAGTACTACTACTACTACTACTACTACAAGTACTACAAGTACTACTACTACTACTACTACTACTAACAAGTACTACTACTACTACTACTACTACTATACTACAGTACTACTACAAGTACTACTACTACTACTACTACTACTACAAGTACTACTACTACTACTACTACAAGTACTACTACACTATATACTACTACTACTACTACTACTACTACAAGTACTACAAGTACTACTACTACTACTACTACTACAAGTACTACAAGTACTACTACTACTACTACTACAAGTACTACTACAAGTACTACTACTACTACTACTACTACTACTACAAGTACTACAAGTACTACTACAAGTACTACTACTACTACTACTACTACTACTACTACTACAAGTACTACAAGTACTACTACTACTACTACTACTACTACTACTACTACTACTACTACTACTACTACTACAAGTACTACTACAAGTACTACTACTACTACTACTACTACTACTACTACAAGTACTACTACTACTACTACTACTACTACTACTACAAGTACTACAACTACTACTACTACTACTACTACTACTACTACTACAAGTACTACAACTACTACTACTACTACTACTACTACTACTACTACTACTACTACTACTACAAGTACTACTACTACTACTACTACTACTACTACTACTACTACTACTACTACTACTACTACTACTATACTAATACTACAAGTACTACTACTACTACTACAAGTACTACTACTACTACTACTACTACTACTACTACTAACTACTACTACTACTACACTACTACTACTACTACTACTACTACTACTACTACTACTACTACTACTACTACTACTACTACTACTACTACTACAAGTACTACTACTACAACTACTACTACTACTGCTACTTCAGGTGTTTTGTGTGGAGCAGTTGGGGGGTTCAGTTTGGGGACCACAGGATCTCGTGATGTTTCCTGTTGACTTCATCAGACCAGAACCTGAAGAGGCTGAGATGAAGATCAGGTCCTCCAAGTCCGAGACTGTGGTTCTCTCCGGTCTGGTCTCTGGTCTCTGATCTCTTGTCTGGTCTGGTCTGGTCTTTGGTCTGATCTGGTCTGGTCTTTGGTCTGGTCTGGTCTCTGGTCTGGTCTCTGGTCTAGTCTCTGGTCTGGTCTGGTCTCTGGTCTCTGGTCTCTTGTCTGGTCTGGTCTGGTCTCTGGTCTGGTCTGGTCTCTGGTCTCTGGTCTGGTCTGGTCTGGTCTGGTCTCTGGTCTGGTCTGGTCTGGTCTGGTCTGGTCTCTGGTCTGTCTCTGGTCTGGTCTGGTCTGGTCTCTGGTCTCTGGTCTCTGGTCTGGTCTGGTCTGGTCTGGTCTCTGGTCTCTGGTCTGGTCTCTGGTCTGGTCTGGTCTCTGGTCTCTGGTCTGGTCTCTGGTCTGGTCTCTGGTCTCTGGTCTCTGGTCTCTGGTCTCTGGTCTCTGGTCTCTGGTCTAGTCTCTGGTCTCTGGTCTTTGGTCTAACCCCGGTCTCTGGTCTCTGGTCCTGTTTCAGACACAGATAAGTCGGGTCTGGCCCTCGAGGACCCGGTGGAGGACGGGTCTCTGAAGAAGAAGCAGAGGAGGCAGAGGACTCACTTCACGTCGCAGCAGCTTCAGGAACTCGAGTCCACGTTTCAGCGGAACCGGTACCCGGACATGTCCACGAGGGAAGAGATCGCGGTGTGGACCAACCTGACCGAGGCCAGAGTCCGGGTAAGAACCAGGACTCAAACAGGACTCAACCAGGACTCAAACAGGACTCAACCAGGACTCAACAGGATCCGACTCAACCAGGACTCAACAGGACTCACTCAACAGGACTCAACAGGACTCAACAGACTCAACCAGGACTCACAGACTCAACCAGGACTCAAACAGGACTCAACCAGGACTCAAACAGGACTCAAACAGGACTCAACCAGGACTCAAACAGGACTCAAACAGGACTCAGGACACCCAGGGAAACTCACAGGACTCAACCAGGACTCAAACCAGGACTCAAACAGGACTCAACCAGGACTCAAACAGGACTCAACCAGGACTCAACCAGGACTCAAACAGGACTCAAACAGGACTCAACAGGACTCAAACAGGACTCAACCAGGACAACCAGGACTCAACCAGGACTCAAACAGGACTCAAACAGGACTCAAAACCAGGACTGAACCAGGACTCAAACAGGACTCAAACAGACTCAACCAGGACTCAACCAGGACTCAACCAGGACAAAACCAGGACTGAACCACTAATGTTGGTCTAACTACACCCTAGTTGTTTCCTACTAAACAACCCTAAGGTGTGAACTCTGGAAAAAGCAACTACTACAACTACGACTTCTACTCCTACTAGAACTACAACAACAACAACTACTACTACTACTACTACAACTACTACTACTACTACTTCTACTACTCTTACTACCACCACTACAACAATAACAACAAGAACAAAAACTATTCCTCCTCCTTCTTCTCCTTAATCCTCTTTTTTTTCATCTGTCTTTGTTTGAAACTCGGACAAACCAAAAACAGTCGAAAAATAAAATGATAAAAAAATAAACTAAATGATTTCCTCTTCGTTTCGTCTCGGCACAAAGACGAGCGTCGTCGTCCTGATGAAGCGGCTTCGCTCTTCGCTCTTTTACCAAATAACTTCTCCAGTTTAATAAAGTGAATTTTTAGCCTCATATTTAACTTGGCCTATTCCGCGCTAATCCTTTGGTAAAATATTCATTCATTATGTCTTCTCAAATACGGCTGTAATAACTGAAGAGACGCGCTCTTACTTTGAAAGGATCACACTGTCCCACACACACTTAACGTCTTATTTTAACAGGAATTATCTCGTGTTGACTCACTTGGGCTCATATGAAAACGCTTTAATTTGGGGATGAGATTTGGAGAATTTCTTTCTTTTAATCATTTTAATTGGAAAAGACACATTTTTGAGTGACAGCTTCAGGTCGCGCTCGTCTGTGGACCTTCACCAACCTGGAATATTCAGCTTCTGGTTTAAAGACGTCAGTGAAGTCGCCCCGTTAAACCAAACCTACACAAAAACTACGTCTGTCGTTTGTGCTGCAGAAAGTTTTGGAGACATTAACGATTCTTTTATGTTTAGGTTAAATTAGGATCAACATCAAAATGCTCTAGTCCAGACGAGTCCAACTCAGGCCCAAAATGATTTTAAATGTTTTAATTTGTTTTAATTATTTTATATTATACTTGCCCTGGATTCAATGTTTAAGCAAAACTATGATTAAACATTTATTTGAATAAGAAAAGGTTGAACATTACAGAAGAAAACATGCAGATGATGACGACATTTTTCAATAAATAGTTTTTCATTTTGGCCTCAGTGAATTTGAGTCTGACACCCTGATCCCCATTTACACCAACACAGATATTTTAAAAAACAAACATTTCCCTTTGTTTGTTTCATCTTTTACACACGAACTGTGAATTCTCCTCTGAAAATGAATCTTTGTAAAAACTCCGTCTGGAGTGAAGTTTGTGTAAAACTCTGGTTTGTCGTTTGTGTGTAAAGTGATAAACAGAGTTTTAGGAGCTGATGCCACAAAAGTGAGACCAGAGTTTATCTTCTACTCTGATGACGATGATGATGATGATGAGGAAGGAACTTGTTCACTCAGACTCAGGTTTACACAGACACACAGATTTGTGACGAGCATTGAATTTATGAATTTGGAAATAATATCTTAAAAAGACGTGAAAAATTCTTAAAGTTTTATATCTGGGTCTTAAAGTTTGTGCAGTAAGTTAATTCTCCATATCACATTTTTCCTCAAAAGTTTAATTTGTCGACCTCCGTCATAAAGACGGAACCAATAAATGAGAAATAAAAAATCCTCTGAACACGTCACTGAAGATCAAACGATACAGCAAGTTTGACTAACACTATTATTGTTGGGTTTTTTTACAGTTTTTTAACGTTGGTTTTCTGTTACTGAGCGACACTTTTCATGCAGAAGTTGTGGGGAAAAGTCGGTACTCCCCAGATTCATTTGTTTGAGAAAAAAATCAACACCAATTCAAAAACTTTTTCTTTACCAGTGGGGCTCTCAAACAGGCCGTGAAATAGATATTACGTTTTTTATATAAATGGTCTTAAAAAAAAACTAGAGTTGAACTTGAAGAAACCTGCAGGAGCCTGTTTTTTATTGTGTCGGGTTCAGTTCAGATTCGATCTCTGCTGTCGGACGAGGGTCGGTCTCAGTCCTGATCCACGTTCTAGTCCAGACTGTGGTTCTAACTCGTCTCCGTCTCTTTCAGGTCTGGTTCAAGAACCGTCGAGCCAAATGGAGGAAGCGAGAGCGCCACCAGCAGGCGGAGCTGTGCAAGAGCGGCTTCGGCTCTCAGTTTAACGGACTGGTCCAGTACGACGACATGTACGCGGCCGGATACAGCTACAACAACTGGGCCACCAAGAGCCTGAGCGCGCCCCTCACGTCCAAGAGCTTCCCCTTCTTCAACAGCATGGCGCCGCTGACCACGCCCCTCACCACGCCCCTCTCCACCGCGCTCACCACGCCCCTCACCACGCCGCTGCAGTCTCCGCCCATGTTCCCCAGCTCCGCCCCCCTGCCCTCCGTCAACCCCGGGATGGTGCCGCCGTCCGTGCAGAACCTGAACAGCCTGCCGCCGCCCGCCGCGCTCAACTCGGCGGCGACGTGCCCGTACGCCAGCTCCGCCGCGCCGTACATGTACCGCGAGTCGTGCAGCTCCAGCCTGGCGTCGCTCCGGCTCAAGGCCAAACAGCACAACTTCACCACGTACCCGCAGGTTCAGAACCCCAACGCCAACCTCAGCCCCTGTCAGTACGCCGTGGACAGGCCCGTATGAGCGCCCCCTGACCGCCGCGCCACAGGTTTAAACCCCCAACACCAGAACACCGACAACAGGCCCGTATGAGCGCCCTCTAACGACCACGCCACAGGACCTAGTTTAGATCTGTTTTATTTCTAGTTTAGTCCTGGTTTAGATCCAGTTTAGTCCTTGTTTACCAGGACTAAAGTAGGGCTAAACCAGGACTAAACCAGGGCTAAACTCCAACACCAGAACACAGACGACAGGCCGGTATGAGCGCCCTCTAACCACGTATCCACAGGTTCTAACTAGGGATGGGCACGATCAGTCGACTAATTGGTAATTGATCATTAAGAATTTTGTTGATCACGTTCATTTTTAATTAACAAACTGAATGTCGGTGGCTGCGTGTAGCGTCTGGAGTCTCGGCCTCACAGTCCCACGTTTGGCTCTGGCTCCGCGGAGACTCTGGAGTCATTTAAAGAATAAGAAATACATTAAAATCACAATAAAAACAAATCAAAACATAAATAATCATCATAAAATAAAAAAGAGAGAGACATTAAATACATAAATTAAAGAGAAGAGTGCAGATTGAAAACCTTTCAGTCAAACACAGCTAAACAGAAACATTTTGAGTCTGGATTTAAACAGAGTCAGAGTCGAGTCTGTGTCACATGTTCAGACTGATCCAGGTTTTAGCTGCGTGAATCTGAAACTCTGACTCCGAGTTCAGTCCAGACTCTGGCTCCAGCAGGAGGCCGGACTGAGGCCATGTCCAAGCAGAGCCGCTTTAAAGTCTCTGAGCCACAGACCTGAGCCACAGACCTGAGCTACAGACCTGAGCTACAGACCTGAGCCACAGACCTGAGCCACAGACCTGAGTCATTGTGCATGTAAACGCAGTATCCCAGTTACTGAAACATAAAGTCACATTCATCCAAAAGACTTTTCAGTCTTTTCATCACAACAGAAGCCAAAATAAATAAAGTGACCGACCAGTATTCCACTGAGTCGTGTCGTTTAGTCGAACAGAAGCTGAAGCGCATCAGCGACACGAGGAAAGAACTGTTTTTATCAGAGACGTTAGTTTATGTAAATGAGTCGTGGTTATAAGTTTCGTTTCTGTAAAACGTAAACAAATGTGTCAAAGCTGCACATTATAATCTCGACATTAATCGTCCCGAAGATCAATTAAGAAAATGTAATCAAATGCCCATCCCCAGTTCTAACTCTGTTCTGTTGAATGTCGTTAGTGGATAAATCCCAGTCATTTTCTCGACATCCGCTGTAAATTCGTTCCATTGTAACAGTCGGGGAAAATACGGACGCCCCAGAAAGTTTAACGTCCGACCGACTCTGCGCCGAACGAGCCCGAGTTTGTGTTCCTGAACCTCGATTCCACTGCACGTTCTCGAGGTGGAGGTCGGTTTTGCCCGAGTCCCAAGAACAAGAGAATTCAACAAAACCCCAGGCCACAGAGACCAGACCGGTCCGAACGCCCCCTCACCACGCAGCCACAGGTTTAAACCCCCAACACCAGTACCCAGTGCATAGGCCTGTACGATGCAGCTTTACATTGTTTAAATCAGAGTTAGTTTTGTAAGGTTTCCGCGCTCTGAGGACAGAACCACGGACTGTGTCCACAGACAAACCCACGAGCCGCCGACTTCCAAACAGGAAGTGAGCACGAGCACATGAAGCCCTCTCTCTGCCACTGCTGCTCTCACACTTTATATTTTGGTCATAAAACGTTCATTTTTACTTCACCATTTTGTCCATAAATCAAACAAAATATGAACTTTAATCACAGACCAATCAGGCGCCTTCTTTCCCCGAGGTCCCGCCCACAGAACTTTAACCAAACCTTTGCTGAACCCAACGTGGCGTCGTGTTGTTTTCAGGGCCTGTGCTCATTTTCTCATGGCCCAAAAATCATTTTCTCTTCCACAAAAGTGACACTAGTTGTGATAATGAAGAAATATTTGTATGTAAAAAATATTGAGCTCAAAATGTCCCTTTGACTTTAAGTTTTCATGCAAAGACAAAAGGCAGAATCTGACCTGATCATTATTTGGTTGATTTTCTCCAGATTTCCATCCGTTATAAGAAAAACACGTCACCAAGCTCGAGTCTTATTCCACTGTTTTGTTCCAGTGTTACTGGTTCAATTGGATGTTGAATAAAAAGAAAAAAAAATGTAAACAGGAAACGTCTGGATCCTTCTGGATGTTCAGAGACACGATCAGTCAGTCAACAATAAAATATCCTCATTAATGTTCAAATCCACCTTTATTTTGTGATTTATGAATAGTGTTTCTTGACTTGGGTGGTGAAGGTTTGTGACTTTTAAAATATTGGTCCCCAGAAAAAAAGAATTTGGGAAACACTGATTTAAATCACAAACTAAACAAACACAGTTTCTGCCTTTGGCCTTTGCACGACTCCTTATTTTAGACTCATGGTCCAAAGGCAAAGAACAGGAACTAACAAATAAGGTCAAAGGGACATTTTGAGCTCAATATTGTTCACGATATTTATTCGCACGATAAAGCAGGTTTCACGTACAAACAAACACCAGGTCACTGCGTTTTTCAACATTTCAATGAGTCCAGGTCAGAAAACAACATGACGACGTCTTTGGTTCATCTTCAGATCAGATTAAACTTCCACGGTTCAGACGCCTGAGTCTGTGCAGAGGCTGGTCCACGCGCCCGTCACCACGTACCCGTCACCACGCGCCCGTCACCACGTACCCGTCACCACGTACCCGTCACCACGCGCCCGTCACCACCACGCCCCGTCACCGACGTACCCGTCACCACGTACCCGTCACCACGCGCCCGTCACCACGTACCCGTCACCACGTACCCGTCACCACGTACCCGTCACCACGTACCCGTCACCACGTACCCGCCGGTTCAACTCCCCTTAAACCCACTGAAGGAAACGCAACCAAAAACCCAAGACGCGACGCCGACCAGAGCGGCTCAGGTCTGTGTCTCCAAACCCACAGAGCCCACCTCCCCCACCTCCTCCACCTCTCCTCCACCTCCCCCACCTCCTCCACCTCCCCACCTCCTCCACCACCTCCACCTCCCCCACCTCCTCCACCACCTCCACCTCCCCCACCTCCTCCACCTCCCCACCTCCCCCACCTCCTCCACCACCTCCACCTCCCTCCACCTCCCCACCTCCCCCACCTCCTCCACCTCCCCACCTCCACCACCTCCCTCCCCCACCTCCTCCATCTCCTCCACCTCCTCCATCTCCTCCACCTCCTCCACCTCCTCCATCTCCTCCATCTCCACCTCCTCCACCTCCTCCATCCATCTCCTCCACCTCCTCCACTCCTCCATCTCCTCCATCTCCTCCCTCCTCCACCTCCTCCACCTCCTCCACCTCCTCCACCTCCCCATCTCCTCCACCTCCTCCACCTCCTCCACCTCCTCCACCTCCTCCATCTCCTCCATCCTCCACCTCCTCCACCTCCTCCATCTCCTCCACCTCCTCCACCTCCTCCACCTCCTCCACCTCCTCCACCTCCTCCATCTCCTCCACCCCCCCTCCTCCACCTCCTCCACCTCCTCCATCTCCTCCACCTCCTCCACCTCCTCCACCTCCTCCACCTCCTCCACCTCCTCCACCTCCTCCACCTCCTCCACCTCCTCCACCTCCTCCACCTCCTCCATCTCCTCCATCTCCTCCATCCACAGACGCGTGTGAAGGGACTGAACCACTATCTCCGAACTGGCTCTACCTCTGGATGTTCTGCAGCCAAAAAAACGTGGAGGAAGGAGAAACGTGTGAAGCTGGACTCAAATTTTGGACAGAATAATTAGAATTTCAAATATTTTTTCCTGTTTTAAGTTATTCAGTTTTCCTCCGCTGTGGCGTTTCATCTCAAAGTGACTAAAATTGCGTTTGGACGGTGTACTTTCGTCAGACGCTGAAGGTTCTGGAGACATCTGGAGATCTTTTGGTTTTTGTTCGGAGCTGAACTGAGGAAGGACCAGGAAACTTTGAGGATTCCCAAAAAGAACTTTATGAATATAGTGATTTTACCCTGGATTTATTTTCTATGTGAGACTGAAACTGATCAGCCAAAGGATTAAGACCACCTCTGGATTTACACCAGGTTAGACCTGGTTTAGACCTGGGTTAGACCTCGAATAGACCTAGTTTAGTCCTAGTTTCATCCTGATTTAGACCTGTTTAAACCAAAACTAAACCAGCACTAAGCTAGAACTAAACCAGGACTAAATCAGGACTAAACTAAAACTAAACCAGGTCTAAACCAGGACTAAACATTACATTGGTCATAATGTTTTGGCTGATTGGTGCATTTTCTATTTGCCTGTTTTTGTTACCCCCCTTTACCTCCTCTTCCTCCCCCTCTACTCTTCCTCTTCCTCCCCTGTCCCTGGACTGAACCGCTCGCCGTCACAGGGAGTGTAAATAGGAGACTCTTATTTTGAAAGTGAGGTAGTGCTTTAAAGAGGAGGAAGTGTGGGGCTTTTATTGTGAAACTCTCTCGTGGTGGGTCCCGCTGACACTTTTTACGCTGTAGTTTTGCTTTTGTCTCAAACTGAAAAGATTAAAGAAACATTTTTATCAAACTCTGGACGTTTTCCTCAGATCTGCCTCCTGACCTGGTTTTACTGCTCTGTGTTTATTTAAAAACTGACGTGCAGCTCCAGACACTTCTGACACGCCGGAAGTAAAGATGAGCGAACTTCCAGCTCCATCAACTCTGGCTCCAAAACATTTATCATTAATTTCAGACTTCAGGTCATCGCACAATCCACACGGAGAAAGATCCTCCAATAAAGTGATGATCAAACCTCCATGTTTGTTTCCCAGTGGGACGTGTCTGTTGACAAAGTCGATCTTTTCAAGTCTTTTGAACCATTTCACTTTTGTTTCTGCTTCTGATATTGTCATATTTTAGTTTCGGGATTGGGACGTCGTCATTGTTGTGGTTGTTGGATCCAAACAGCAGAAAACGACTCGAGAAACAGACTTCAGAAGTTTGT